GGACCGTGGCACGAACCCGCATCCACTGCATCGGCAGGCGGACTCTCAACCACTGCGCCACCAGGGAAGCCCCCCCCCCTTTAGATTTTAATGATCCACCTCACTTTCTCCTCTTTGGAAAATAATCTAATTTGGATGAGTCCCAGCTGTATTCATGGTTCAGCTCTCCCATATTTATAGTCACTTCTTCAAATATCTTCTGAGGAAAACCTTTTGCCTAATTAGTCATTTAATTGTAAAAGTCCCTGCAGCAAAGATAGGTCTCCTGGGCAGACTTCAGCCTGTTGTCTCCTTGTGCTGTCTAGGTGACCAAGAAACTCATCTGGTCAAGACAATGGGCTTACACCTGTAGCAGGGTATCAGCTCTGTGCAAAAGAGGGTGCAAGGGATGCAGGATGCAGGGGACAGACCTTTGCCCTAAAGATGTACACGGGTCTAATGGGGGACACATGGAAACAGCTAATTAGCATTGGAGAGATCATCACCTGGACCAGAATGAACAAAAGTGATGTACCAAGAAGTTTTTATGGCATAGCCTTAAGATTAGGTAACTGCTTCATAGCTTTATGACGGTTTTATTTAAAGATTTCATTAAAACCTTATTTTTTTATTATAAGAGTAATATACATTCAAAGCAGAAAAAAATTGCCAAACCACATGAAAGTAAAATGAAGAAAATTTAATAACACCTATAATCTTAATACCTGAAGATGTAAACATTATTAGCTTCTTGGTATTTGTCCTTCCTGCCTTTTCTTGGTATAGATCAATTTATGCACGTAAGGTCATAATGTACATACTCATATATAACTTGTAGTTTTCACTTATTATAGCTTTATGATATTAAGTTTTCTAAATGAGAGTATAATTTTTAATGTACTATGTTGTATATACATAGAGTAAAAAACTAATTTATTTAACCAATCTGTTATTGTTGAATGTTTACTTAATTCTGCTTTTTTAAAAAAACATTATAAATGATATATAATGCTGAGAGGTGCATCCTTACTGTAAGTCTTTGTGCATATCCATGATTATTCCCGTAGGATACCTTCCCAAGAAGTGAATTTTCTGAGTCAGGGGCCATACCCAGTTTCAACACTTTTGATACATAGTGCTAAATTTCTGTGCCCCCAAAGTTGTCCAGTTTACTACTCCACTAGCAATCCTTTTCATTCCCCAAACTAAAGACTGAGTCTTTGATGGAATTAGGTCCCAGGAAATTTGCTACATGGGTAATCATTGTATGAACAGTGTGTGTTTATGTGTATAATGTATGTGTGTATAATTCAGCGATGTCTTAAAAATCATCTTTAACACCTTCCTTTAACCTTGCAACTTAGGGTTAGTTTTAGTTAATATCCAAGTCATAATTCTGACACCGAATTTATTTTTATTTATTTAATTCTTTTTTTAGTTAGGGACAAATCTGATGGTGAACCTAGGGACAGATTAAACACACACACACACACACACACACACACACACACACACACACAAACACATCTTGAGACCTGGATTTCAAAACCTGAGGTGTATTTCAGTTGGCTAATTTGAACCCAGTTTCCCTCAACTAGGAATGACCTTGAATTTTTCCAAAGAAGGTAGCTTGTATATTTTGAAAATGTAAGCAGAGTCTTGCATTAGTAAAGGTGGGTTAAAGAACGCTTCCATAGTTCCCTCTTGGGTGGGTGACCTGTCTGCTAGGCTAATCCAGGCACAGTGGCCCTCAAACACGTGGTTTTCTCAAACAGGACCTGCAAGCACAAGACCGCGCTCACCGCATCGGCCAGCAGAACGAGGTCCGCGTGCTGAGACTCTGCACCGTGAACAGTGTGGAGGAAAAGATCCTCGCAGCCGCCAAGTACAAGCTGAATGTGGATCAGAAAGTGATCCAGGCAGGCATGTTTGATCAGAAGTCTTCAAGCCACGAGCGGAGGGCATTCCT